ATCAAGGAGACAAGCGAAATGCACAGCGAAGGATTGAAACCCTGACTGCGAGGCTGTGCAACCACCATTCCCGCTGCATCAAACCGCTTAATAAAATAGTAACAAATAATAACAGAAGACAAATAATAAGACAAACCTGTGTATATCTCACTGAATAAATACTTGCTGATATTTCGGTCACATATATATATATATATATGAAGTAAAGACTTCCTTGAAAAGTTGATTTTTCAATATTTAAACTTTGTCACAGTTGGGTGGTGATATTCTAGCAACAAAAGACCTATCAGTGAATGAGGCTTGCCGTGTAATCCAACAGGACCAAGCATTGGTGTGATTTCATCATAAATGCATCGTACCATCACAAATAAACTGACAATAATTTTTATTATTGTATTAAGGAAATAATATTTATTCAACAGAACTACTGAGGGTTAGTCATATACATTTGTTATTAAAAGTTGATTTTTCAATACTTAAACTTTGTCACAGTTGGTGGTGATATTCTAGCAACAAAAGACCTATCAGTGAATGAGGCTTGCCGTGTAATCCAACAGGACCAAGCATTGGTGTGATTTCATCATAAATGCATCGTACCATCACAAATCAACTGACAATAATTTTTATTATTGTATTAAGGAAATAATATTTATTCAACAGAACTACTGAGGGTTAGTCATATACATTTGTTATTTACTTAATAATAGAAATACAATAGATGGGGCTTCTATACAACTAGCAGCTGATTATATCCCATCCACTGGAGCGATACATATCAAATTACTTTATCCTGGAAAGTGCTAATGGTACAATATATTTTTCACTTGTTTTCTGTATCGATTATTCTAATTCAATTTATTTTCAAATTTTGATAAAAACACTTGAGACACTAGGCTTGGAGTATTGGTTGAATGCACCAGCAAATTGTCAGGAAATATATTATAAAAAATAAATGTTTAAAAAAGTATAAAAGGGGATGTGGAAATGAGTGATTGATTAGTTTTTGGTTTGATCTTTGATGGCATACACTTACAAATACAAATACAATTTATAGAAAAAATGGTCAAATGACAAGTTCAAGGTCACGGAAATTCAATCATTTACCTGCGAGCATAAAATACAGTAATAGAATCACTCCTCGTATTCAGGCAGCACTCAAGAAAATTTTACCTAAATACGATGGGCGATTCCATTATTTTCTTGAGGGTATGCTGCAGTTTCACCCAACATAAACAGCCTGCTTATTGTTGAGTTTCAGGCACATTTCAGGCAGGGCACTCTATAGAGTTACTGCTCTAGTAATTACTGTATGTCAGCTACCGCATTACAGAGAACATTATTATATCATATCTACTGTACATAAGGTATTAAAGACCAAAAGAATTTACAATACAGTATACAGTAAGTTAATAAACATTTTAAATAAAATATTTATATTTTCTGTATGTCACCAGGTTGATTTGTTGGTTTTCTATTTTTTTTTCCTTTTTATTAGAAAAAAACCTGATTTGAAATTTTACCTCAGCCTCAATTTGTTCTTACTTCTTAAGTAATTTCAGCCTCAGTGTTTTTATGAAATGTGCTATTAGGCAGATTTCGCAACCGAATTCGCAACAAATACGTCATTATCATCATTCGTGCCTAAAACATTACGGACAATATGCTGCATGAGCTGAATATGATGCCTGATTCATATAAAAGGCATGAATTGCCTACCTTGTGACAGATAAGCTAGCGTAGGGGAAGATTTTCTAAAAATTTTATGACCGTATTCGTTATCGTTTTTGTAAGCTTGTGCAAACTCCCTACTATGAAATAAAGTGTAATTAACCTGCAATCAATTTATTTATCAAACGGAAGCTTCATACTTTAAAACCGTTCCTCTTTTACGCCAGAGGTGAGAGGTAATCTGATCGATATAGGCAGCATGTCTTCTCTGTTTTAATTTGCCCTTTTCATGGGCTGAAAGTAGTCTATGGGGTCCTATACTCTCTTAGCCTCTGTTGCATTGTTAGATTAAACCATTATTTTTTGTACTTGAAAGAAGCATTTTTAAAAGCACTTTCGACAGGTAGTCGTGGCAAACGCTTGAGGCTTCACAAGCTTATTACAGCTATGCCAACATTAATCAGTTCAGGTTGAAGGGATTTTTCAAAACAAACACAAAAATAATATTCACAAAATAAATAATACAAAATAAATTACTAAATAATATATAGGCTTATACAGTATATTCATATATTGATCATCATGTTCAACTGAAAAATTATATGTACACTGTATTGAAATGTAACTTTTTTTTGTTTACAAATAAACATTTTTTTTGCAAATTAATTAATTTCAGACAGTGACAATGATAAAAAAAAAATAATGGTACATGTCTCCCTCCAATTAAAGACCACTTTTGGGACTGGGGTTTCCATGGTCTTTAGCAGCTTTGGTCTCTAATTAGAATAATAAAAATAAAAGACATTTGTTAATTTGGGACCAATTTTTAATTGGAAGTGGTCTTTAATTGGAAGGTCTTTAATTTAGAGGGAGACCTGTATTCAACAATAACAATATGGAGCTTGCCATGCCAAAACCAGCATCGCTGGCCAAAACATGGAAATTGACTTTTTAATACAGTACATATTCTCCTATTGTAAACTCTAAAACGATAGGTGATTTACTGATATGAACTATTGCCAAAGTTATGAGTAAAAGTATTACGGCTTCTCTGTACTAAAGTATACAATACTGCCATATTTTTATGCTAATTACTCAGTTTAACATTTAGCAAAACTACGCTGCTTTTGGGATGGCAAGCCTCATACCATCACATCACTATTGAATTAATTTTGTTATTACCGGTATAACTTCTCAGGTATAGGCCCACCTTGAACATGACCATAATGTTGAGTTTAGATGGTGGACATATATCCAGGGACCAGAAAATGTAAATATTTAAATAGTGGTTGTTTATTTGAGTCTATGTACCTCCGATATGCCACTGACCCTGTTGAAATTGAAATAAGTGTAGACTTGGCCTCGTAGAGTCCAGCCTAGGATGCTTCAAGAAGAAGCCCAAAAATCCAATGACAGGGCCTTGTTGGCAAGATTTGATATACAAGATATTATTCTTCTATATTGCCAAATTCAATAACATAAACAAACACCATGACAGTCAACTCCAGGCGCACGCAGAAACCTAAAAGTGAACTAAATCAGGGTAACAAAATAAATAAACTTTATGAATCTATTCCAACAGAAGGTAAGTCTTAATATAAATTATTATTAAAGTACATACACTGAAGAACAAAAAAAGCAATAGTTTTACTCCATAGAGTACCTCTGAATGAACGATTCCATTATTTTCTTTTTATGCTTGCAGTCCTCAAAATCTACGCCGGCATTCGGCAATGCTGACATAAACGGCGGTGTCTAGCCACCCAACGCCTAACATTAACGTTTAGACCTACTGTTGTGTCGTTTTTAATCAATAGATAATCTCTATGGCAACGATATTGGGACTGAGCTAGCTGTACGGCGGTTCATTCACAGGGTGTTGTGTGCTACGCCTGTTAATTAACAGACAGCGATGATTATTGCGTTATTTTCGTCTGGAAAAGTTGATTTTTATTAAATTTATGTTCTGGACTGAGTATAATGTCCAGAATTCGGAAAAGGAGATTCGGTTTTCGGAAAGTATTTTATGAAAGGAAAAATAGGAATGGTTTTGGGACTTGAAAGTTTGGTTTAGTGTGAAATTCAGAATTTGGAGATACCACTGTATGTTTTTTTTTTGTAGTTTCATTTTACCCATCACCATAACATTAACACTGTTCAACATTTTATCAATAATTAGTTGTGAATTTGAACATCAGTACGAGGCTAGGCTTTCTAGCTTGATTAGGTGATCTGAAAAGACATCCAGCACTTCTATAACAGGTTAGCATGGGTTGATTTCAGGGCTGTAACTGAAACTAAAAACTGTCGACATTATAACCGGCGTCAATTTTATAGCGCCGGCGATATAAACAAATTTTTTGCCGACATACTTTTTTCCTAATTTTAAGGGCTGCGCTTGAGGGTAAAGCAAATTTCTGTGACCCTGACCTTATCCTTCAATGTTTTCTTCCCGAAATTAATCACCTCTTAGATTATTATGTAGCATTCCAATAAATTTTATGATGATTCATTCCTTAGCATTTGCATAATCTTGCTCACAGATAGACAGGGGTAATAAGGAGAGAGAGCAGCTTAGCTCAGTCCCTGGTTCAATTCCCATCGCTGCCTCTCCTTGTGTTTTAGCTAGAGGGCTGAAATACAAGTTATAATAGCGCACCGTCTTTCGGATGAGACGTTTAAGCCGTTGGTTCCGTGTGCAATGATGGCCCATGTGCAAGTTAAAGAACGCAGTACACTCTTCGGAAAAGAGTAGGGGATTGTCACCCGGTGTACTGCCCAATCACCACCAGAAGGACCCCACTGGAAACAAGTCTTCTTCTAGACTTTCGTGGGCTATCCTTGGTGTTTACACCGAATAAAATCCAATCCAAAATCTAATTACATACAGTATGTGCATTTAGAAATCTAAAGCGCCAACTACTCCTACGCGTTACACGATGTTAAGGTTACTGATAGAGTACAGTAATGACTTCTCTATTCTGTTTGTCCTATATTTAACACATCTTAGTCGATTTTCAGACCTTAATCATTTGTAATTGGGAAAAGGTGAATGGCACTCTCTGACTGCAGGCAAAATTCAGCCTTCTACCATTCCTTCCACTGATATTAACATTAATTCATCTCAAGCTGAATTATTTCAATTAGATATATGAAGCTATAATGAATATATATTACTTGCACAGAATCACACACTGCGCAAGCAAAATGTCTGTTCATGATTTCAACTCCAAGTACATATTTTTTTCATCGATCCTACAGTACAAACAAGACAATAAAATATTGTAATATGTCTTTATTTTGGAAACCTCTTCATTATATCATTTCTGGGTTTTTCAGATTTAATATCAAATTAAAAAGATGAGCCTTCTATTTAAAGTGACACACTGGGGATTGTGCAATGTCGCATAGAATTTACAACACATTTATAGAAAAGCAAAGATGTAGGCGTACTGTTCCATGAAAAATACAAGAAAAAAAAATCAAAATCATTTTTGAAATTAACTGGCACATTTTGAAATAACATACAAATTATCAACTTGAACATAGAAATTCGTGCACTTAAAAAAATGTTTACACAATTTTACAGCAAAAAATGATAGAAACACTTGAGTCACTGTAAGTCTTTTTTACTATATTATCATTATCCAAAATGATTAAAATTGCTTTTATTATTTTATGATAGATAAAAGTGTCACCATACAATTTGGTGTTTTCATTGGAGTGGCCAGTAGGATATCCAATAGTTTAAAGTAGAGGGGGCCCAAAGATGGACTTTCACAGATGGAAGGTCTAGGCCACCTCTAAAAAAAATCATGATTATGGCCGGAAAATGACACTCTAAGATTTAAATTTGAATATAATTTTCATTTTTTTAAATAATTTTGAAATCTTTAGGGGCACAGACCAGGTTGGATCTCCCCACCTACTGTATTATAAAGTTTTTTCATTGGGCATGAATTCTAATACTAGATACAGGACACTAGAACTCAGGGATGTATTTATGGTGGGCGGGCCACCCAGCTTTGAAGTTTTCTACCCAGTCTAAAACAAATTTCAGGCACCCTGCACCCACCCATGTTAACCTCCATGCCCATCCTTAAAATCCACTCTTAGGGTTCATTCATGTTTTCACCCACCCAACCTTAAAATATCTCCATCCACCTTTATTTTTCTATAGCTACAACACTGACTAGATTATTAATTATTACTCCTACCAGTACAACATTGTAATGTAATATACTAAAACTGAAGTTATATTCATCATTTTATGGAAATTGAGATAATGTCGTAGTGCCAAGCTAAAGATCGTTTAATGCAGGCCTAGGTTAGTGAATATTGTGCAAATGTTCAATGCATATACAAACAGCGGCAGTTGCCTTTAAGACTCAAATCTAGTTCTAACCCAAAATTAGTGGTCTTCCAAATCAAAGGAGTTGTACATTCTGACAAATAACATTAGGTAAAGGTGAAACACATCATTAGTGTCATTTTGAAGTCAAAGTAATTAAATTTAAAGTAATCCTGTGAAGAGTAGGACGAATAGACCTAAATTATCAACTGTAACACACGCTTCTTTACGGTGGTCTAGGCAAAGTAGATGTGTTAATGTCACCTGAAATCACACATTTTGAACTCGCAGTATAATAAAATTATCATAATCAAATTATTTTGAGTCTATCATTGAAAACCTGCATGTTTGAGGACCTAAGTTCATTTATATAGAACAGCGTTTTTGGTGGAGAGGCCTAACTTTATTGATTTTATCTTAATTTGACCGTAAATTCTGATTTAAGTAAAGCTACTAGGCTCAGTCGGCTAAACTGGTGGTAGCCACTGTATGTGAGCAGTAGAGATTATTTGTAGTTCAATTCTATCTGTGGCTCTCCTTGTGTTTCAGCTAGATTGTCTCCCGGAGTTCAGCACAATTCACCACCGGAAGGTATGTAAATCGGTTTACCTCTACTGTCAAATGAGAAGTAACAAAACATATTACTATAGATCCTTTATTTATGTACAGATTCTAATCAGGTACCAACTGTCTCCGGTATAAATTGAACAGAGGCCTTACACTTCATTCCCAGACAATGAACAAAAAAAAATTATATGGTGCAGAGAAATGAACTAAAAGCATTTTAAGTACAGCGAAGGTCATAATAATTGAAACCAAGAAAAATGATGAAATTAATGAATTCAGACTTACATTGACTATGGTACACCATACTATTATCAAATCCAGTAACAAACAACAACAACAATAACATCAGTCTTCGCACAAAATAATTTATGTATTAAGATGACAGAAACTGAAAATAATATGAAAAGTGTCTTACTCATGTTAAATAATTCTTTACCACCTTACCATGCTTACGTAATTTAATGGCATCCATGGTTGAAATTGATTGTTTTTTTCCTTCTAACAATGTTAAGTGCATTAGATAATTATTCTCAGAACCATTAAGATAATTCAAACATGAATTTGCTTGATTAAATTGATAACCACATCACACTGCATGGATGGGGAAAAAATGCATGGTGACTGTTGACAAGCAACGACTACAGACCCACCTAGACAAAAGAGTGTGTTGCAAAAAACTCATTTTTACAGTACTGTAGAACATAAAATAGACACCATTGTGCAATCTCAAAGTTTAATAAGGCAAGCATAATACCTACTGAAATGTGTGGTATATACCATCCAGAAAAAAACGTTAAAAATAAAAACAATACTACATTTATAATATACAGTTAGCACACTTTGGATCTTACATCTTTCTAGGTAATTTACATTTAGTCCTCAGTCTATGTTTTAGGGCCAGAAATAGAAAAAGGTTAACAGCACACAAACAACTTGACAAAGGTAAAGCACTTTCTCCTGTCTGTCTGACATACCATCCTGGTATTTCTGAGTCACAGGTTCTTCTACTAAAAAATTAATGCAAACAAAACCATTAAACCTACCAAGTCATAAAATTAGGGTGTGAGTTTGTTTAGGCTACTTGTCCATTCACTTTCTTACCAAATGTTATACATCTTAAAATGCGAATAAATATTTATTATTAGGTAAGAATTACAGTACACAAAACGTGTACTGTAATCTTGCACTAAGTTCATGTAATATCACATAAATTTTTGGTACTGTGTTCTAGAGTACCTAATAAAATCTAATTCAATTCAATTCAAAGAAACTATATTCTAATTATTTCAACCTATAGGGGGCACTGTTTACACTCCAGTTTAAGAAGTCAACTACTAAAATGGTTGTTAAATCATAAAGTTTTTGTCCATCTACAAATATTACACGTGACTTTTCTAAGTAAACACTTCCAAGATTAAACTAACAGGGCAAACAGTAGCTATTTACAGCCTCCTCCAAAATAACCAATTTAACACTCCAGCCAATCTTTACACACTGCTGAGTAACTATAGGAAAGTAGCCTACTTCAGGTAATAATTGTTCAGCAATATACAATTGGGGCACTTTGATGATTATAGCCCCTCCCTTCCTTCTCCTCAACTTTATGGATCCTCAACCTAGGTATATATATTTTTCGGGCATTTTATTTAGATAAAGGCAAAGAAAAGGGTGTCACTTAAGCGGAGTTACTTTTGAAATCAGGGGAATAGTTGGGTCGACTTTACCTCTCATTTTTTATAGTACAGTATAGGCCTAACTACAGGCCCTGGCTAATTTTAGGGTTATTTTGCGAATTATCACTCATGTTTTGTAAAATGCTAACTACTACAGGGTCAAAATCCAGATTCAGGTATCAAATTAAACTTGAATGGCCTTTTAAAACATACGATTTGTTGGGTTTCTTGGGAAAAAAACGAAAGTGCTGTCTCTAAATTTTCAAATATCTATTTGGTCAATACAGCTGATCCTAAAAATGCGTCCCTGCAGAGATGGCTCCAGAAATTTGCAGACAGAGGGTCCGACAAAAGCCTTGGTCAGGGTCCCAAAATAGTAGGTTTCACAGGAAAAGTTTTTATGGCTTAGTATGGCCCAAATTGTGCTATAGTACTACAATAGGGATTGGCAATTAAAATAACGTTGTTTGGATTATTATTTTTGGTCTGGCGATCTCATCGTGACACCAGACAACATGAAGTTTAGGCCTGTGCAACAGGGCAAAACTGCCCTGCCTGCCCTATGATGGACCCGAAATGTTGATCGTATTTGTCATTAAATTTTGTTTTGCAAATATAATGGTCTTATTTTTATATTTGCTTAGTATCTGTATAATTAAACTGTAGCAGGACTACACACTTAGAACGTGTTACCAACTAAGAAATGCCTTCCTTGATCTGGGCTAGCTAAACATGCCTAGGCTTCTATTCAATTAATTTATGTGATACTGACACTACCATTTTTCTGTCAATAGCAGACACATAATGCTATTATCTACTCCTCACTGTAATGCAGAAAGACAGAGATGACATTTAAAAAATCTGAAAAATCGATCAAATCTTTAACTTGTATAGAAATAAAATTTTCCGGAAATATCCAAATTTCAAAAACAGAAAAACATAGCCATTAAGTAGAATAATATCATCTAAAAATACCATGGCGATGAGCGACCAATCTTCTGAGTGATATAGATTGAGAAACAGACAAAATTCCAAAAATAAATATTGATTAAAACATTTTAATATGATCTTTTTTATAATCACCTTTTTCAAACAAGATGTCTTTAGGCCATCAATATATATCAAATATCTATTTCAAAAACAACAATGTCATAGGCCTATTATATTTTTAGGCCTTGTTCTACTTTACCTTAGAAACAGAATAAGATATAACTAGTACTGGTATGAGCATATATATTACAATTTTTGCTTGCAGTTATAAATATAATACAATTTTATCACTGATAATGATTTGAAATTAATATAATAATAATAATGTTAACTTACCGGTGTATACCTGTAGCATAAAATGCTGGAGCTTCAATGCTTCTAACGTTAAATATTTTTTTTAAATAAGAATTTACCCCTCAATGCAAACTTAACTCACAACCCAAAAAAAATGCAAACTGTTTTTCTTTTTGAATTGAAGATAAGCAATGAAAATATAGATAGGAAAAGGCAAATTTGTACAAAAACTCTAGAGGGGGGGGGGTCACCATCAAAATTCAGTAGATCAGCAAAAATATGTTTATATCTGTCTCATTAGTAATTTTATATCATATCTGATCCTTTTAAAATGAGCAATGAAATTTATTAATTGAACAATAAAAATGACTGAATGATAAAATTATTTTCTTGGTTTTATCACAAGCATTATATTATACCATTAATGTGAAAATAATAATTTATTATAGTTCAAAATATTAGGAGATACACATTTCAAGCTTGACTTCAATAAAAATTAAAAATACTTAGCATTAATTTTTCTACTTATAGCAATAATAGCACAGAAGCATCCTTGGATTGACTGTGTAGTTACTTAAATTGCTCGTTAGGCCACCATTAGGGTCGTTATCATGTTCTTATTATTAAAGGTCGATCCACTAAATAACAGCTACATGAAATGCTCAAAAAATATATAATTGAGCTTTTGACAAAAGGCCTCGCTCAAGATAACATTTCAATATTTTTTACTATCTTAATCATGATTTAAAAATCCAAGAATTTTCCTGTTTTCCAATTGGTTCCCTGCTCTGCCAACTGAGCTATAAAGCCAAGGCCTTCAAAAAGGAGATATTTTCTTAAAGTATATTTCAAGTTTAAAGAAACTACAGAGAAAAAATATTTAAAAACTAGGGAAAAAGGTTGGTTACACCCCTTTTCCCCCCAGTTTTGTAATTATTATCATTAACCATTCCCAATCTTTTTGTCAAACACCCACTTGATGTCTTAGAAAAATCAGTAGTCCAACACATTGAAAATTGGTTTTCCTCCAGAGCTTGACTTTAACATCATACATGGCACAGTTTGGACAGAGCAAGTAAAGTGAAGTAAAACACACACCTGAAACATACCCAAACAATATTGCAATCCCTTGTACAAGTGTCATTGTCAGTACGATATAATAAAGGTACTACAGTACCAGTTGGGGGATTAGACCAACATTTGGCTCTGTTTTAAGCCAGCTAGATGCAGTATCAGGATCATAAAGAGAAGCAAAAAGTAAGAATTCCAAAAGTGAAACAGGAGAGTTGTCTTATACGTCCGACATACAAAAATCATCCAAAAAACCTTCAAAAACTTGGGTGTCGTCTTATACGCGAGAATATATGGTACACAACTTACTTTCTGCAGCTTCCTTTTTATGTCACGTTTTTGTTTGTAATGTGTTTTTCTACTGCTAGAAGGATTAAAATATATTTTTTTTAAATAATCTATATGTGACAAATTTGTGTGAAATCGTCCGAATATGGTTTTTATGATGCCATATGTGCATGACAATGTCATATCACATCCATATTGGCATGATGATTTCATATCACATTCATATATGGGCATGTCATATCACATCCTTATATGGGCATGATTATGTTATATCACATCCATATACGAGAATGATTATGTCATTACATCCATATATGAATATGATTATGTCATATCACATTCATACTGTACATGGGCATGATGATGCCATATCACATTTATATATGGGCATGTCATATATACATATATGGGCATGATTATGTTATATCACGCCCATATATGAGCATGATTGTCATCACATCCACGAATGAACATGATGATGTCATATCACATCCATATATGGGCATGATTATGTCATCACATCCATGAATAGGCATGATGATATATCAAATACATGGGCATGATTACGTCATCACATCCACGAATTGGCATGGCGATGTCATATCACATCCATATAGGGGCATGATTTTCATACCACGGCATGATGATGCCATATTATAAGAGCAAATGACAGGTATTTGTCACATAACATTTGATAGTATGGATAGAATTAAGATCCATGAAGATCTTGTAATCAAACAAGAGTTAAAAGTCAACCCAAATTTAGTTCTAAAGTATGGACTTACCATTTAAGCCGGAAATTACCGTAATTAAATCAATTCATGCACACTTTACAGTAAGCCAGAATTCACACTTACCGTGATGAAGCTAAATCATCTTTGGTTCTTTTGTATACGTATAATTGCCCTGTTCAATGACGCGATAAATGTCTTGTACCAGCACCGAGGTAACTGCCTTCAACAAAACCTGTGGATTCAAATTAGACTCAAAATTACAATGCCCGTAAGAAATTTATTGACAATTACACTGCATATTATTAATGAATAATAAATTATTTGAGTCTCAATTAAGACCAAAAAACAAAAATTTTTATTACATTCATCCTTTAAGTGTTTCATTGACAAATTTACTCCATCCACACATAAATTATATTTTATTCTAATCTCTAGAAAGACCACAACATATGTTTATTTTTATTAAAATTTCATTTTCATTTAAAAATGTGACATCTCTGTAACATACTGTAAATTGTTCCATAACCATTATTTAGATATTAGGTTAATTCAAACACATTTGAACTCAAATGTGTATTTATGAAATAAAACTCAAATTGATTCAACATTCAAGACCCTGTACCACCTGCCCAGCAGGAATTGCGGGTTTCAACAAATAATTTTTTGTAATTTCTTCCGATAAATTAAGCAGCACTATTGTTGACCCTAAATAGTGTGAATTTAGTAGCTCTCACTAATCATTCAGGTCAAATATCTCGTTAATAAAACCATACGTTGAAATACTTGATTAGGTCCACTTATCAGACACATTATCAAACTCTAACGAAAATTTATCAGGTGCAATATTCAATTTCAATTTTATAGCCAAAACGCTACATTTTTATAGTTTTAATCTTTGCTAAAATGGCTGGTCTGTCTCTGAGGTACTCATAGTAAATTTTAAACAATTCTAAACTGTGATTTTTATTATGATTTTTTTACTATACTATTTTAACTTGTTAATATCTGAATCTTGAATCTAGTCTCGTATGTCAGTTTGGGTATGATCAGATAAAAATATGCAAATAACGAATAGTAAATATAAAATACTGTTTGGATATGAGACAGAATTAATTACTGTAGTTCCTTGAGTATAAGCCCAACCCTACTTTATATCTAATTTTATGTACCAGCCTTTCCTCGGGCAAAAGCCCAGATTATGACTTTTAGAAATACAGTAGAACCCCTATTAAGTGGACACCTTCGGGACCAAAAAAGTGTCTCCTTAATAGGGGTGTCCCCTATTTAGTTGACACTTACCAAAAACATGAAATTGTCCCCTTAATAGAGGTTTTTGGCATGTTTTCATATAACGATGACATACAATTCTTCATAATTTAATTTTTGTTGACATAATTAGTTACAGTAGAATTTATAACTAATTTATAGCAATAATTTTCAAGGCAAATACAATTTAATTATATGAAATCAGCAGAAATGTAATTAAAACAACATTAGATTTATATGTTCCCAATATTGTTTTATGAGGCAATGTTAATGAATGAATTAGAATCCTATAAAAGTGCACGAAAAACAAAGAAAAAGAAATCCCAATGGTTAAGGGTCAAAATTGAAAAGGTTGGTTTATATGAAGTAACACATGCAGTATGCCTTACCGATATTCACTCTAAGGATTTAGGGAGAAAATTCTGGTTTATTGCTCAAATTTCAAAATTCAATGTCAATTTCAATTTGTTCAGAAAACCTCCGGAATAGAGAAGTAAATCAGTAATCCTACAATAACTTTAAAACAATAGAACAATTTCATTAAAAAGGATAAGTTATTTATACATATACCAGAATAATTATAATAAAACCAAGAAAAAAATTGAATTCTCAAAATACAAAATTCAATCAAATCAACAAGAGGAGAGAACAGAACACCACTTAAACAGATACAAGCCAAATAACAAACCATGAAAATATGGTACTTAAACACACCAAACTACTACCAAACGAAGATGGATTATTTTACTCGATTGAAAATTCTTTTTGCAATTTCAGATAAAATATTATTATTATTATTATTATGTAGTCTAACAAAAGCTCGCCCTTGACAAACGGAGTAGAAAATTGGTAAAAGTTCCTTAACAAGTTGCTCTAAATGTGTCAATATTTAAAGTTTAGTGATATTTTTTTTTTTTTGAGACTGTTGTATTTGTTGCGATACAATAGAAAAAAAAGTGTCCCCTTAATAGGGGTTATTTGACTATTTGGCACACTTAGGTGTGACATAATATTATATTACTATTCTCCTGAAGACGATTGAAGCAACTCAATCAAAACGTTGAGACTTTCTCAACTACAACAGTTCTTTTCAGAACTACTTACGTGGCGTACCGCAAGTTTCAATATATATATGACTTCACAAATGGTCGGCGACTGTAACAACGTATTACAGTACAGGCAGATTATGCTCAGTCAAGTCGAGGCTAGATAATTATGCTATGTTCTGACAAATCTCCAAATCTTCTATGTATGTGTACCTCTGACACCATGTTATTAAAGTACATTACACAAGACGATAATAATAAGGTGTTACAATAATATCCAATGATTTAACTCCATAAACAAGGAGGCTTTATTTAACAACATGCTTCATGATAGTTGTCTCGCTACTCCTAGAGGGCTCCCTTACACATAGCCTTACTGTACAACAACAGCCACGTAAGATAACAGGCATTGCAGAAACCTGTAACATTCCTGAGATATTTTTCTTGGATTTGTGCATTATCTCAGGGGGCAAAGTTTATACATATCACTGTAGTGTCGCACATATCTTCATTGTCTGCATATTGACGTACCTAAAAAGGTGGTAAATTCGGTCGGAATATCTTGAGAAGTCCTCGTAGCGTTTTTTTATACCTTGTTTAGCGAACCTGCCAATAATGATGACCTCGAATAAAAATACGATTTTATTTTTGGCCAATTAGCGCACCCGCCGTCACAAACAAATTGAAATTTCAGAAAAAAAAAGTCATACTAATAGCATAATTATATTTCAATGGAGGCAGGTGCGACAGTTCACTTTTTTGGAATATGACAATAAAGTTTATCTCATCGTATCTTATCTTATTTAAAATAATCATTATAGTTGAGTGGCAGTGTTTGAAAGCCTTGAGTTATCTTAAGTTATAATATAACTTGTCACCAGTGTTCTGTCATCAAACATACAGTACTGCCCTCTTCCGTAGCTTATCTAGATCTTCAAAGCAGGTCTCTGGCCGTGTTATTCACTTAGGTTTTAGACAAAGATTATCAATGAAATAGAAAATTCTGTTACCACATTTCATGAAACACCAATTTCAACTAATGGAACAGCAAATTCAGTTAACATCATAATTGAAACACAAAATTTACATAACACATTTAATAAAATTTACTTTAAACACATCTGATGAAATTTAGACACTTCTAATGAAACACAAATTCAAGTTAACAAATTTAATGAAACACAACTTCCAGCTGGATTTTAATTACACAATTATTCCAATCTCGACTAAAGTGAATCCATTCTCCAAGGATAGCCCATGAAAGACCAAAGATGTATTTCTAGTTGTGTTCTTTTAGGGTGGTTGGGCAGTACATAGCCTAGAAAGGAAGGCAGTCAAAATCATTCATCCAAAGTAGATTGGCTACACTCATTAAAGGTTGTGAAATAAATAAATAAAACATTTCTGATTTTACTATCATATACAGGTCTCCTTCGAATTAAAAGACCCCTCCAATTAAAGACTACTTTTCTGTGGTCTCAAATTAACAAATATATTTTATCATTATTATTCTAATTAGAGACCAAAGCTGCTAAAGAGCATGGAAATCCCTGAAGTGGGCGTTAATTGGAAGGAGACCTGTACATGAAAAACAAAATTCTTTACCTTGACAAGTACTGTATCACTCACTATACAAATAAAATCAACTATACAGCAATGGTATGAACAAAACTAAATGCTACAAAACCATCCACGTATTCCTCTACATAAGTAGGCCTATATGAAATTGTACTCCAATGTACATTAAAGAAACAACTCTAATTGACTCAACATTTATGATACCACCTGCCCGGCAGGAACTGTAGGTTTCAACGAATATCAATATTTCATAATTCCTTCCAGTAAATTAAACAGCACTATTGTTGACCTTAAGCAGTCTGAGTGCAAAAAACTTGTACCAGGACTATACTTACTAATCATTCAGGTCACATATGTGTGGTGCAATCATCATAATGTTTAATTAAGATAAGTCTACTGGTCAGACACACACTTTATGTACCTTAAAGGTATCGCATAAAATTATTTATATAGGTGTGAAATACAAAATACTGACTGAATGCGTGCAGTGCCTTATCGTTCTACAGAGTTGCATGAAAAAATGTCACCCCCACTGGAATGTTTCGAAGCAAATTATAATTAAGTAGTTAAAAATTACATCATATCACATTATTTTATCAGCTAACATCCCATCACTTTATCATCTAGCCCCAATTCACCTGTGATCCCCATCAGCCCCCATTTCAATATATCTTCTAGATACGCCACTGAATGTAAGATTACTGTTTGAATATTAAGATTGGATATGCAAGACATACAGAAATGAAGCGAGTATGTAGATTAATGATAAAATGTATAAAGTGCCTATTAAAATATATATTAATGCTTGCGGTACGCCACGTACATAGTTCTGAAAAGAACTATTGTAGGTTGAGAATATCTCGATGTTTTAATTGAGTTGCTTCAATCGTCTTCAGGACATTATTCTCCTGAAGACGATTGAAGCAACTCAATTGAAATATCGAGATATTCTCAACCTACAACAACGGTACAACTCTGAAATTGGCCAAAAAATAAAAACACTCGGAGCCTGGGCAAAATCCTACTGGTTCTCATAAAAGAAAAAAGTGTACTACTAGGCATAGTAACGATAATCGTATTTGCATCAACGCTTCAAAAATTGCTTATGTATGAACCACAAAGTGATGATCAGAGAAACTTGAGATAATCCTAAAAAGGGTACCACGGCAAGGATTATAACTAAATATTACTATTAATATGAGAGATAAGAGACAGCGGTACGCCACGTACATAGTTCTGAAAAGAACTATTGTAGGTTGAGAATATCTTGATGTTTTAATTGAGTTGCTTCAATCGTCTTCAGGACATTATTCTCCTGAAGACGATTGAAGCAACTCAATTGAAATATCGAGATATTCTCAACCTACAACAACGGTACAACTCTGAAATTGGCCAAAAAATAAAAACACTCGGAGCCTGGGCAAAATCCTACTGGTTCTCATAAAAGAAAAAAGTGTACTACTAGGCATAGTATTACGATAATCGTATTTGCATCAACGCTTCTAAATTGCTTATGTATGAACCACAAAGTGATGATCAGAGAAACTTGAGATAATCCTAAAAAGGGTACCACGGCAAGGATTATAACTAAATATGACTGTTAATATGAGAGTCACGATTTAGTAGCTGTCAAATATATCAAATTATATTTGACAAAAACATGTGACATGCTTGAATATGGTCATGATGACAGTCGACATCATGACCATATATAGGCACATCATGACTATATATGGACATGTAACAGCTTTTTGTCAAAGAAAATTTTAAAGTGTAGACAGAGCATTTTGTTTATGGATTTATTTCTCTCAAGCTGCATACTCTCCATCACTTTTGTGCAGCCCTGAATTTCCTTCTGAATTCCACAGGAATATGCTTCTCTGTACTATCCGCCAGATTCACTCCCGGACAAATATCACACACTCACTCATGCGGACTCATCCAAGAAAGGGTTTACAATGCCTCGCCAGGAATCCTTGTTGGCCATCAGATTTGGTAGGCTGTTAAGTTTGTTTGTTGATGTCCCTTGCCGCTGTCAATATAATTGAGGGGTCTTCTTCCTCCGGAGGTACATGGAAGCCTCAAACAGATGACATTAGAGATGATTTGACAAATATTAACAGTGGCATTAAAAAGATTTATGGTGAAGATTGAATGTGACAGAGGATCCAATACTATCAGTGGCAGATCCAGGATTTGAAAATAGAGAGGGCCTAGGGAGAGACTTTTACAGACAGACTGGACCACTTCAGTCCCATCATGGTTGAGACTGAGATAAGACAATTTATGTCACCTCTAGATGGCTGGAAATGGAACTCCCAGACTTAACTTTGAATAAAAGTTTCATTTCATATCCATTTTAATTTTGAAAAATTAAGAAGGATGGGAAGATGACCAGCTGCTCCACCTCCTTGCTTCTGCCACTGACTATTCCTTAACAGTTAAATTCTGGATAAGAAAAATTAGAATATTTATATTCAGCATCAACTGAAGTTTCTATCTGCTTGATGTGTGAAATTTATGAAATTTGTGAATTTGCATTAGTTCATCAACATTTATTGCTGTTTTATACCTGGATGAATATATATAAAACACATTCGCTACCACGGCCGTGAAGATTTATCTCACAAGGTGTTACACGTGCTAACGACTAGTATAATCACAGATGCGCTATTTAAATAAATTTATACATTGCGATGTTGGTGGCGCTACCATAATTGCTCAAACACAAAAATGCAGCAAGGTATTAATTAAATTTAAAAATAAATGTCAAATATTTGTTGTGCTCTACTGCAGTATTTGTATGGGACTTTGATGTTTTGAAAAGACTCCCTATTAATGGCATGTATGATTATTAACTGGGCGTATTTAATACTTGTCGTAGCAAAACGCCCTTTAATACTTGTTCTAGCAAAACGTGAACCTATCTATAACACACAGCAGGAAACATGCTAAAAATATATATATGAGAAATTAATCAGGACAAGATATATTTTTAAGTGCTGAACTAGGTTATATATTACAGCTTTACTATCCAAGATCAGCTTTTAAAGGCATAAACTCATTAATTTGAAAGCTTTTTAATTCATATTTTGATAATTTAATGAATAATATTAGTAAGTACCTATTACTTTCATTATTTATTTTTTATTTCTTCTATTAGATGTAATATCCCCTGAAAAGCCAAAAACCTTTAAAATCAATTTTCAAATTAACTTGTTTATTTTGAATAATGTAACACAAATGAAAAAAAAATGATTGAAACACTTCAATTATAATTGCTATTAAATTCTTAATAACCATTTCTTCAGTTTAAACAATTGGTTATCACTATCAGTGTCTAGTGAATGTGACTTTAGCTCGTCTTTAAATCAGTTGAAAGTATTTAATTATTAAAAGTCATAAATGTGTAATACATTATTTTCTTCTGAAAGGTTCTTATGAATTGTGAATTAATAAATTATACAGTAAAATCTCCCAAGTACGAAACTCTTACTCTATATTTTACAACTCGATTTGCGGCGATGACGTCATTACGAAAAAAATGTTTAACTACAAGAACACTTAAACTACTGTATTCCAAAGTCTTAAAAAATAATATAAAATGTTACGTCAGCTAAAAAAGAAAACATTTAAACAATAAATTAACATAAAACATCCTTTAAAGCAAGAAAAATATCATTTTCAGTCAAGATGTATTCCAATTTGAGCTGTGCATTCTCGTTTACGCAGCTGCTATTCCAATGGATTCGCAATTGTTATGAAGGGAATAACACTCTTTTTTCCTATTAATAGTCATGATTTCATTTATAAATCACTTAAAATAATTACTTTGCAGCGAGTACAGGTAATTTTGGTTTATGTACAGAATTATTTAGTTACAGAAAACAGTAAAATCCAAGTCATATTTCAAGACAAACATTTGCATCCAAGGCAAGGCTCTGCCTGACCTATCCCTGTAAACTATAAACTATATGTAGCATAGGCCTAGGACTACCCTCACCACTGAGATGCTATGCAAATTTGAACTCTCTGAATTGAGAATTTTATTAATCAAGAACTACGTAATTGGGAGATGTTACTGTATTTGGCATTTACAGTATGTAACACTTTCCACTGACCTTCTCAAGGCAGTATATTACTATACTTGGTCGTTGGGAACAGCAAACATCATACCATGTAAAACCTTATCTAATCTTTGGGAAGTATTCCTAAATAATTCCTAATTAGCATTACAAATGCTTTCAAAATAGAACATTTGCATAGACAAATTGCCTTGCCCAAGGACAGGTATAAATGCACAACACTTATATTATTGAAAGTCATAGAATCACAACCTCCTAGTTAACTGTTCCCATGTGCAATTAGGTAGTAATAAGCTAGTGTTCATACTGCCAAATCTAGTGTAGGTCCGCACAATATTTATAGTTGTTTCATTGCTGAAGAACATAACATATAACATAATTTATATTGGCCTTGTGATGATTTTCAATCAGATGACAAAACAGAAATTATTGCTTTGATTGAAATCTTGAAAGCCTAAGAAAGGCATAGGCCTACGGGCCTACGTAGCATGACTGATAACTAAACGGTATATAAATGAATTTGTTTTAATTTCACTTAGTCATACCGTACAAGGAAAACACACTGCCATAATACGGTAGCTTTGTACCTACAGTAGGTGAAGTATACCTGCAGCACATTTGAAAAAAATGTCATTAGTTCAAGCAGAGTTACCACATGTGTGTGAGTATGCAGATGATTCCTTACTCTTTTATGAAGAGTGTACTATGTTCTTTAACGTGCACATGGACCATAATGCACACAGGACCAACAGTTTAAAAGTATCATCCGAAAGACGGTGAGCTATCGTAACTTGCAATATATCCCTCCAGCTAAAAACAAGGAGAGTAGCGATGGGAATTGAACCAGGGACCAAGGGATCTCCAGGGGTTTATTTAAGAGCCGGCGGCCGGCGCATTCGATCGGCTACTACGATGTTTTCGCCGGCTACTTCAATCAATGCTGTACAAAAATTAATACAACCTGATAAAACATTGATAAACATTGTTAAATTTGTAGGATGCTTGAATACCATACAAAATTAAGGAATATCATATGACAGTGAGTACTGTATGTGTGTAAACTTGTCTTTCTTATCTGTGCCTGGGATAGCCAGCTAAGTCCTGGTCCTAGCAACTGGGGTAGGCTGCAGGCTTATGGCGCCTAGCCTGCCTAGGCCTAGATACTGTAGCCTACACAGTGACTGTAGGCCTATCTAACCTAGGC